ATAATAGACAAAATTTTTAAAGTCAAGTTTTGAAGGTTAATTTGGTGGAAAGAAGAATTCTTAATACTATTTGAAGTTGGTTTCCAATAACAAAGGAGGGATTTGGATCCTCAAGGATTGATTTGGAAGTTAATCTCTCAAACTTAGTTAACCAAAGAATTGTGAAATTGAGACAGAAAGGTCAGTGGATGTCGTTATTGAGTGGATGTCGTTATTGAGTGGATGTTTGAAGCTAAACTTTGATGAGAGCTCTTTAAGTAATCCAGGGCCTTCGAGTTTTGGAGGCATCTTAAGGGATTCTGCAGGTGTTACCAATTTTTGTTAAGCAGGTGCGTGTGGAATTTTTACTGCCAACGAAGCAGAAATGGAGGCGGTGGAGAAAGGTTTAAAAATAGTGGCTCAAAGAAGGGTGCAATTTCCTTGCATTATAGACGGCTATTCACTAAATGTCATATACTTGTGTACTCATAATTCTCGACCTCCATGGCGGTGGAGGAGGAAGTTGATGACAATTTTGGATTTATTTTCGAATATACAGGTTTCTTTTCAACATGTTTATAAAGAGGCCAATGGAGTGGCAGATGGACTGGTAAGGCAAGGCGTGGATCTGCAATCTGTTTTAATTTCTGATGTACTCCTATAACTTTGTATCTTGTCTTTGTTTTGTTGCTCCTTTTGCATTACAATGCAATCATCTCTTATCAATAAAATTATGTGATCTTGCCAAAAAAAAGAAAAAAAAAGAAAAAGATATTCCCAATTCATCTTGGCCTCATGGTTATATTTTATTTCCTTAAAATTAATACAATTTTTCATAAGGTTCAAAGCTCACTAGGGGTTGGCATCTATAAATGGGGGTGACAGTTGAACGGTCGTAAGAAACCTACACATGGTTTATGTGCCCAATCTTTGAGGGGGTGGGCCATGTTGGCTCATTTAATTTGGAAGTAATTCAAGGGAAATCATCTTCAATTAAAAAATAATTGAAATAAAAAAATAGTATAAATAAAAAAATCAAAATTGGCGATCCGGGTGGTGCAGCCTGATTCCTTGAGTGAACCGGTTGGTTTTGTATAGAAATAGTCCAGTTTTTTTATAGGCCTGGCCGTTTCTCGATATTTGGTGGGGAAACAGACCGGTCCAGTTGATTAGCAATTCGGATCGATCCAATTTGGATTGCCATTTTTTAAAACCTTGGTCTCATGTAGGTACTTTGAATTGAAAATTTGGATTCAAACCAAAAATTTGAAGAAAAAACGAATTTGTCAAATTTAGTCGTCTATTTCTATCTCTTCATCCTTCAATTTGAATAGTCGAATGAGTCATTAGGTTTAGGGCTGGCAGGCATTGGCCCTGTTCGAATGGACCAGGCCTCTAGAGCAGGGCCAGGCTGGCCTTGTCGTGAACCTGGTTCAACCCCTAGGCCGTGAGGGCATGTTCCTTGGACCAGATTTTGTGCAATAGATCCCACTTTTTGAGGTTCACAATATCATCCTCCCTCTTTAAATTTTCAAATCATTAAAGTGTTGGATTAGTAAAGTATGATCGATGTCACTTGGAAATATGTCACCCAAGTCTTAAGAACTTTATCTTTCATTCTAAAGCCAGCGTGTAGCACACTATACACTTACTCCCTCAAGTAAAAGCCCAAATTTTATAAATCTTGATCAATCTTATCTTGATGGAAAGGATAAAATGAAAAACTAATGATTTAAAAATAGAGACATAGACCAACAAGGTATAACCAATCTCTCTCTCTAGATCAAGTGATCCATGATAATTACTCGAAATTGGAATAAATCCCAAAATCGAGCACTCAATGGCCATAGTGCACACGAAATATCTGACATTGATTGAATTAGTATATGATAAAATATGCATCCAAATACTAGGAGCAAAATGAAATATAAAAAAATGTATTATTTTATAATTAATGTGCTCTACAAAAACCCTTTCCTACAAGTAATAAATGCCATCATCATCATCGTAGCCTGTTTCTAGCTATTTGAGGTCAGCCACACGAATCTTGATCTGCCATTCTGCTCTAATAAGGGCCACTACAAGTAATAAGTATAGAAATTACAAATTAAATAAACCAATTAAAAAAACACAAATAGATAATCCTAACCTTAGAATTAACCCAAGCCCCAGCCGAAATAAAGGGAAAATTAAAATGGAAGTCTTGTAGAGAGGGGGAGGGAGCCAAGAGAAAGATTGAGGTGCAAAGAGAGTGTGTGAGAGAGAGTAGAGAGGCGGGAGGGAGGGAGAGAGAAAGAGGGAGGGAATGCAGGAAGCGGTTCGAAATGGGATTTTAAGATACAATTTATAAAATGCTTTGATCTTCAAAACATTGAACAATTTTGTGACTTAAAATGTTTGAAACATCAAAATGAATGCAAATGCAAAAGCAGATAAAATGCTTTGAGTATAGATCGATCAAATGTATTAACACATGACTGCTTAATTATAAGAAAAAGGAAACAAAAGCTTTTTAGGCTCTTTGATGTTTCAAAATTTGGACCGCTTGATAACATAGTGGCTTTTAGGGTAGTCCAATGTTCTTTTAGGGTAGTCTAATATTTTGAACATTAGACTGCTTTAGAAATTGGGCAGTTGGATGTTTTGACATCTTACATCCTATGAATATATATAAAAAAGAAAAAAAAACATCAATATGCGGTCTAATGTTTAACATTGGGCAAAGTTGGAAAAATAAAAAATCTAAGGGGCAGAACTTTCTCTTAAATAACATATATTTCTAGGGTAATTATCGAAAATATACCTATATTTTAGCTTAATTGGAAAAAAAACCTCTAACTTTCAAAAACCGTGTCTACACCATTTTTCTTCTTTTTCACGTTTTTTGGATGAAAATAACCTTCACAATAGTCATTTTACCGTAATTCATATTTAGTTTTACGGTAATTAAAATACTACAATAATTTGAAGTAGTATTACGGTAATTAAAATACCATAATAACTTGAAGTAGTATTACAGTACTTTAAGTACCATAATAGAGAACATTTTATTTACGGCATTCTTTCTACCATAATGTTTCCATTTTATACAGTACTTTAACTACAGTAATGTCTAACTCATTTTATATGGCAATTTTAATCCCACGTACCCCTTTTTTTGGCAACTTTCCCCCTCTATCTCTCTCAATCACCCGCAACAAACCATCTCTATCCCTTTCAACACTCCCACCGGTCCTTATCTCTATTTCATCTCCATCCGCCCCTAAACTTTCTCTCTTTCTCTCCACACCACTTTTCTCTCCTTCTTTCTCTCTCTCACATATAAAACCCCTCTCTCTTTCAAGTCTCATCTCTCTCTCCTCTCCCTCATTGGTCAAGAAAAAAGCCATACATGGTGCCTAATTACGGTAAAAAAATACCGTTAAGAAAATGTTATCTATTATGGTACTTAAAAGACTGTAATACTACTTCAAGTTATTACGGTATTTTAATTATGATAATACTACTTCAAATTATTCCAGTATTTTAATTACCGTAAAACTTAATATGAATTACGGTAAAACGACTATCGTGAAAGTTATTTTCGTCAAAAAAAACTCGAAGAGGTTTTTGAAAGTTGGGTTTTTTTTTTCAATTAAGCTAAAATATAAGTATATTTGTAATAATTACCCATATTTCTGGCCCGTCTATAATTACCATATTTTATATTGCACAAACATAATTTTTCCTTGAAATAAATAGGCGTATTGTGAATAGTACCATGTTTTTTTTATGTGGTACGGACATAAATTTTCCTAAGATGGATGGGTATTGTTCGGGGGCAGGAGAGAGAGAGAGAGAGCATTTGCTATTTTAGGTCATGTATTGTTATGCAGTCGACGTTTCATTCATTTCACAATGACCACAGTGACTGTGTCCTTTTGACAGCAGAAAAGCTGCATGGCAGTCGTCCATCTTCTATTACTGAAAGAAACCATTAAGAGAAGTACAATTATGAAAAAGAAGAATAGAAGAAAGGGCCAATCTTGCTTTCCAATAATAATTAACTCTAACAGGATATAGTTATTTTATGTTTAGTAATGTAGATAGAAGAAAGTTTGGAAGAAGAAACAGTGATGGAGCAAGCACTAACTTTTGAAAGCTGAGCGATAACCCACCATCTTGAAAAGAGACAATGATTACCATTATTTAAATCTTTTAGTGGCTCTCTTTATTCTCCACTATTCCCCTTTTAATGGTATTCGTTGCCTAGTCTTTGTCCACAAGGACAATTCTAATCACTAGCCACTCAAAATGCTATTTTAGGCCCCATATTTTATACGTTTAATGTCAACTGAATACTATGCCCTAAGACCCTGAAATATTCTCATTTTGTTACATGCTACATAGATCTCACTATTATCTCACAATTTGTCCACTGAACAGAGAACAAGATAGGATATCTTACTTACCACTTAGGATGCCACCTAGGTTCCATCAAAATGAATATAATTCATGCAAAATGCATTTATTCCATGGAATATGACCATAATGGTCTCCATCTAATATTATTCCTTGAATTAACAACAAAACTAAGTAAATACTCTCTCTCTCTCTCTCTCTCCTCTCTCTCTCTCTCTCTCCCAACTCAACACTCCTTGCAGAGCCTCTCCTTTATTACTTTGTGCAAATTGTTTAATTCACTATATTTCCAATAGTTCTTGGAGTATTTTTTTATTCCTTATTTTTTATTGCTTAGAGTTCCAAACAATCTCAATATTTTTATTTCGTGCTATTTACTTGTCATTTATCAAGATTTTAGATAGGAATTTGTAAAGAAAGAATATGCATTATAATAGACACTTTGGAAAATAAAATATTACTGGGAAAAGTGAAATTAGTGGTATTTGTTTAATGATCTGCACCAGGCATAAATAAATGAATCCACTCAAAAAAGCAAGGATTATCCTTGACATTGATAAAAAGTTCCTACCCCCAATCCTTTCAATGAGAAATTAATATAATAAAAAGACCAAATGATAGAGAGATACAATTCATCCATGAGCCTTTTAAATGTACAAGTACATTATTATACAGAACAAGTTCCAGTAGAAGTTTTCTTTAGATATTTCACTCAAATCAGAATTTTATGATCATGGGTTCCCTAGCTTCAAAGGTTCATGCAGTGATCCTCTGGGTTCTCATCGCCTTGACACTCTTTTCAACTTCATATGCAGGTGGGTCATTTTGAATTCTTGCAACCAGAAAACATCATCTCTCTCTCTCTGGAGTCATGGTGTTTCTGTGTGTATCTCTCTTAATGTTACTAGTTTTGTGTTCCCTGATGATTCCAGAGTAACTAATATACACACCTCAGTCATTTACTATTCATGGAAATTTATTGTTTTTCTAAACTTTAGAGTTTCTTTTGCAGGAAGGCACGAAGAGTTTATGGGTAAGATGGAAGTTAAACCATGTGACAACCTTGAGGTGAAGTATTGAGCATATTTTAAGTATTTTTATCTTGATTAATTTAATATGCGTTTAGTGTGTGTGTGTGTTACAGTTAAACCATGTGATAACAGTGCCAGTTTTGACTATTACTTAGTAACCAGTAATATGGGAAAATTCTAAGAAATATAAGTTTTTTTCTCTTCAAAATCTACATGTGACCATGACTATCTCATCAAAGGAACCTCCAATGCAACAAGAACTTCCTTTTCTTTTTTTATTTTCTCTTTTTTTCCCTTATAACATAAATTTTAATAGGTAAATATTCATTACGGCATTCGTCTCTCTCACACACACCTATTTATAGAAATTCTTTTTCACTCTTTTATTTAGAGAAAGGCATTCATTGATTTGCAGGAAATGGTGAAGAAGTCATTCCATAATGAGAAAATTAGTGTGGCAAAGCCAAGAATGCTTGGAGTGAACACCAATGACTACAATACCTATGATCCCGCACCCGCCCTAGTGAAGCCCCCATTCAAGCTCATCCCCAACTAGCATGCTCAATCAAACCATGCCTAGGTTTGGTAGTGAAATTATAAGAATGCAAATACGTGATGTGAAGTATATATACCTCTCTCTCTCCCTCTCTCCATATGAATATAAGTATGCATGTAAGAACAACCATATGGTAGAGCATTATATGTATGCCTTGTCAGCTTTCCTCACCTTCTTTTGCTTGCTGGTATTCTTTTGCGAGTTTTTGTGTAAATACGTGTAGGAGTGTGATTTCATGTGACCATTTCATTATAATACGATGAAATTACTCTTTCAAAAGATCATGCTTATGGCAATTGAATGACGTCAAATTCAAATTTTGCAGATGCACCTCTTGCATCCTAATAATCAATTTTCAAAATAGAAAAAGTCAAAATTTTCAGAATAGAAAAGGTCTCAGTTTCTAATAAAAGATCCATGCCGTCCATCCAGTAGACACAAGGTTCATGCATTTAAGAACTCAAAATCATTTTTCCTTTTTCAAAATTGTTTACCTAATAGGGTTATCTACAATACTCGGGATAAAAAAGAATCCATCTAAGACCTAGATCTAATCATTCCATCAAGAAGAGGGCCTGTGTTCATGGGATTAAAAAACCACTTTTTAGGACAAATTTTTAAAATTTTGAGTTTTTGAGCTTTTTTCGTCCGAATGAAAAAAATGTATGTTTAATTTAGGTCAAACAAATGACTCTAACATAGTTTTTGAAGGTGCATTTCGGCAACATTTACTATGTCACCGTTCCATGAAATCAACTCCACTTCTATCGTTTTTCTCACCTGTACGTCTAATTTGTAACTTCGTAAGACCCATTTGTAATCTTGATGTCATTGAGATTGGCATGTGTCAAGGCCCATGTTAGACAATCCGTGACCCAAATTGGGAGTTGTCTGGTCTAGATTGCGAATCGATGGGGAGCACACCTAATCCTTATATAAACCAGGCTGTTCCATTTATTGTCCATAACAGAGTAACCTTTAACACGTAGTCTAAATAGCCTTTTTGGATAGCTCGCATGGGGTCTTTGCATGGATTGGGGTTCAAGCCCCACTCTAACTGCTCTTATGGCTAAAATTGATGTGTCCAAAGGCTAATTGATGTGTCCGAAGGCTTGTTTCGGTTGGGAGGTTAGGGTGATCAATCGGTATTTAAAAAGAATAAATTAATATATAAAGGAATTTGATTTGTATTGCAATTTTAAATATTCTTTAGATTATGGTAAAGATTAAAAAAAAATTTGGTCATTAATACTCACTTTTATATTTTCCCATCTCTTTTAGAAAATTTAGAAAATAGCCCTTGAAAAATATAAAATGGTTTAAAATCTATTTTTTTTCATTAATTTTCAACTTCATTTGAATGTGTTTTGTTTCAATCATTATTTATATGCTTTTAATATTTTAGTAGATATTTTTTTGCATTTTCTTATTTTTTTGAACAATTTTTTGACCTCTTGAGACTTGCATGGTTAGAGCAGTTGAATCAGTCGGTTTACCGGTTAGGCCAGTTAAACCGCTTACAAGCCCATGTCCAGTTAACTGTTTCGGTTCGATTTTGCGAACACTGGAGAGAGCAACTTGAGTTTTGACAATTGAAGGCATGCCTTACAAAAAAATTAGAAGAAACTTGAGCAGCTGCAAATTAGCAATCCTAGAAAACTGATACCTTGAATAGAGCAGTCGTACATAACAACAAATGAATAGGCCTCCAGAATCGAGTAACGAAAAAAAAACTCGTCCATCACAAATGATAGAGTAACGGAAAACTCCATTATACAATAGGATTGAGTAACAAAAAACTCAATCAGTAAACATAATCGGGAAACAAAAAACTTTATCATCAACCAAGATCGACAAATTCGATCATCAAACAGGAGGCACATGAAAGAACCAACAAAGCCAATGACAGATCAACAAGGACAATTAGATCTTAGATTCAGAGCTCAGAACAGTAAGTTCCAAAACATATTAGAGAGTTGAAACACAATTCGGCAGAGAGATAGTTCAGAAAGTTGAAACACGACTCGGTGGTTGTTTTGCAGATGATACAGATCGGCCCTTTTTAAAGGCCATTTTTCAGATGAAAACTTAGAAGCAGGTTTTAGATCCGGCTCACCACCGGTCTAGTATCAGAGGGGAGACTGGCAGCAAAGTGTTTTGTGGTGGTCATCATTTTGCTCATTGTTACTTTCTTTTAACTTTAAATCCTTAGTTAAACAGGTTACTTCAGCCATTTAAGATTTCTTTTCGGTACCTAAGGCCTTTCACATAACCTTGCAGGTCTGGCCTGCAATTTCATAGAAAGTGGGAGAATTCAAATAAAGGACAAGTAGAAAAGGTTACTTTCCTCTCATATAAAGATAAGAAAATAGAGGATATTCTAAAAGATTTCACAAAAATCTTAAAGGAAGAATTTTGTGGATATATTGACGAATATAGTTTGCAAAATGATGCAGATTATACATTGTCAAAATTAAAACTCTGTAAGATTCAAGAATTCGAATAATTTGCTAAAGAATACCCAAAATGGTATAAAATGTTAGACGATGTTAGGACAGATTTTTGAAAAAATATTTTTTCCATAAATTACCAATTCCTTGGGATGAAATTTGTGGAACTAACTATGTAAAATATGTTAGTGAAACAACATCAAAAGATGCCCTCAGAAATAGAATAAAATTTGTTTTTCAAAATATCGAAAAACATTGTCTAAACCTAAAAGCTGCAAAGCAAGTTAAGAAAGGACTTGACTTGATAGACTGTAGGCGAATTCTTAAAAATAATTTTGAATTTGGTTATGAAGAGAAAAAACAAAAAAAAAATTTTCAAAAAAAAAAAAATTCAAATGGAAAAAAGGGAATAAAATAAAAAGCTTCAATCGTAAAAGATGCTATGTGGTTAAGGAAAAATAACAATAAACCAAAAAAAGGTTGTCATCGTTATATATATAATAAAGAAGGACACATTGCTCCTAATTGTCCTAAAAAAGGGAAAAATATCAAGAAAATGATAAAAATATTTGAAGATAATTACTTTCAGATTTTTTTCGGAGTAGAAATCTCTGATAATGAACCAATTATATTGGAAGGCTAAACTGAATCAGAAAATAGTGATTCAGATTCAAAATTAGTCTTCTTGATGAATAAAGAAAATCTAACTGAAGTTTCTAATAATGAAGAACATCAAGTTCTTCAGATGTAATTCCTAAAGAATTTACGATCGACGAATCAAAATTAAAAAAAAATTAAAGGTTCTTAAAAAGAAAGAAATATATAAGCTGTCTAAATTCCAATTCTGGAATGCAAGACACTTTAAGCAATTTAGTAGAAATACATTTGCTAAAGCCTCAGAAAATGGCTATGTTGAAATAACTATTTTGACAAAGCTAAAGTCGCAAGGATGATAAAGCAATATCCAAAATTTAAATATATGCATATTAGTGTCATTCTAATCAAAATAACGGCCTTATTTCGATACGGAATAGATACTCCAATATTGGTTGTCACCTTGGATAAGAGATTTAAAGATCCTATTGAATCAATAATAGGAGAATTACAATTTAATTAGGTTACTGGAAAAGTATGGTTTAAAATAAAACCTAACTACTTTATTTCAGAACAAGATAAAAATATCCAGGATACCGTGAAAATAATAATTCAAAAAAAAAATGTTGGAATGAAAGAAGATAGTTTTGATCTTGCAATTGAATGAAAAGCAATCCATGAATTGACAAGTATTACAAAAACATCTACAAAAGATATAGACAATAGATTTGTAGAAGTCTTTGAACCTCGTAATTTTGATATAGAGATTCAACCAATATTAATCAATTGACGTGATCTAGAAATCCCACCAAAATGGTTAATTGAAAACTTTACTGATAAGACTTCTAAAAAGGAAGTACATCCTGTTACTTTTCAAGCCTCTAGAAATAAAATATATTTCAATGATCAACGATTCTTAAATAAAAGATTGAGTTTTGATAAACCTAGAAATATCATCGAAGGAAGAAGACTAAGTTTTGGTCAAATAGACCAAAAACAGAAATCTCTAATGATACCAAAATTTTCAAATACCTGTTCTTCTAGGATCCGAAAATATGAAAGATGACATGGATGAACAGCAAGAATAAATGCAGCAGTCACTAATTGTATATAGGATACAACTTAGAAAAGATGAAAGCATTTTATCCCATAACCAAAAAATAAAAAGATATTTATTTGTTTTGGATGAATTTAATTTTTCAAGATATAAACCATATCATCTAAATATTTTAATAGATAGGAGAAACAACATGTGCCTGTAGTCCAACTGCCCTACCATTAGAAAAATAGAAACAATGAATACTCCTATACACGCAAATGGAATTGATGGCAATAATACTCAAATATAATATAAAGCCAAACATATTTTAGTCTGGGTAAGAAATAAAAATTTTCTTATTCCAAAAATTTTATGTTTTCCTTTAATGCATGGCGATTTTATTCACAAAAACAATTTTCTTCAAAATTACTATCCAATAGAAATTCATGACTACAAATTGGTCCTTACTACAAAAGGAGAAAACGTATAAATTCCTATACTTTTAGAACACAATTATCCTTGTCAAATAGGATTCTCACCGCAAAAAGTGGTGATTTTATTGAAAAAATCAATGAAATAAAAGAACTTAGTGAAAATTATTGGGTATATAAAACTATTGAACCAAATTTTAGTGTTAATCCTCTAAAGTTATGGTCTGGAAACCCTCGAAACTGTAGCCTAAGACTTTGTGATCCAAACAGAATTATTAGAGTTAAGCCTATGGTTTATACTAAAAAAGATATAAACAGATTTTCTATACAAGTAAAAGAACTTTAAGAAAACAGACTAATAGAACCAACTATAAGTGCACATTCTAGCCTTGCTTTTATGGCAAGAAACCATAATGAAGAAAAAAGAGATAAAGCCAGAAAGAATAGAAATTACCAAAGACTAAATCTAAATATGGAGTTTAACGGATACTTTATACCTAGAAAAGATATATTAATCAATCAAACAAAGAATTGAAAATATTATAGTAAGTTTAATTGTAAATAAGGTTTTTGGAAAATTATGTTAACATAAGAGTCAAAGCCGCTAACTGCTTTTAGTGCACCCTAAAGTCATTACCAATGAAGGGTTATGCCTT